GTTATAAACACATGATCAGTTGGTGTTGATTCATGGACTAAGGTGAGTGACCTTTAAGAAAGAATCCAGGCCGAGGTCACGGTAGAGTAGGCCGAGGTGTATCAGAAATATTAGGCATGTTTGGTGGAATTGAAAGTACAAGATTCTAAGACCAGGCAAAAAAGAAAGAGAAACCGATCAATAAAACAGAAAACATAACGTCCTTGAAAACAAGGATATTACGGGATGCACTGCGTGAAATGTTTAACTTTGGAAGGTCAAAGTATTAGTGAAAAATAAAAGGTATTCTTTTGATTGTTTATTAGAAGACAGCAAAAATGTTCATCATCTGGTGATGCGTGCGAAAAATAATCTATATCACGTTCGTTACCATCATAACTATTTCAGAAAAATAAACATTTCTTCAGGTGCTATATTACTCGCCTACCCCTTTTTTGAAGTATTTAGTTTTGTCACAAAGCTACACCTACTGACTAATAAAAATATCTTCATCAGACATGCAACAAAGAGTTGGTGATTATACGATGTCAGTGAATTTCGCCATTGCTAAGGAAATGTTGACCTGTTCAAAATCTAGCAGCGCATGTAATGAGTTGTCAATTCCAGCCTTTGGTTTAGACGGTTCAGGAAACTATCACGAGAGAACGAGCTAGCTCAGGGTTATATAAAAAAAAATGTCTTAAACTTCAGACATACGACAGTTTACGGACCGAGGGTACCATGATTTCATTAAATCTCCACGAGCGCATTTTGTGTGTTAATTGTTGTGGGTTTGCTTTGGGAAGGGGAAGAGGAAGAGCACCTTAATAATACATGGCCCTGTCAAACCATTGTAGGCCTATACAAGCAATCGTATGGTGAAATGAAAATTCACCTCACTGGGGAAATCTAAAAGATGAGGACTGGTCAAAATCCAAACGAAGAAAGCAATCAATTATTAATAATCTGCGGGCAAAACCGCGAAAGTAATTCTAATTTGGGAACTTTATCCTGAGCATTGCCAACACACTGTGCTTCGACTCATGAAGCTTTTTAAAGCAGTTTTTCGCTAGGGGTTAATGGGGTGAGGTGAGGGATTGGTGTGACCCTCACGCAGTGGCAGATCTAGAGGGGCCTGGAGGTCCTGGCCCCCTCCCCTGTCCAAATAAAAAGAGGTCAATTTAAACCTTTTTTTAATAAAAAAAAAAGAAGACGGGCCCCCTCCCCTTGGCGCTAAGGGGAGGGGGAGGGGTGGTGGGCGTGATTCGCCGTTAAACATTTTCTCACGAATGGGGCCCCCTATTTGGCCACCTCCCTTGCCGCCGGCTGGATCCGCCCCTGTCCTCACCTTACATGTTACCCCCCCCCCCCCTTCCCCATACAACAACATATTATTTGGGGAAATGCAGTAGATGTATTGCGCTGGTATAAACCAGTCCTCTTTATACAAAGTACCACGCCCATTGGTTATTGACCCTCTCCCCCCCCCCCCCCACCCCCAGCAAGATGTGCAAACCTATCCGACGTAAAGGGGTATCCAGGAGCTCAAATTATCATGAGTGCTTTGAATGAACCCACCTGTAATTCAAATATAGAACAATCTTCAACGGTACCACAGAATCACAAGTTTTTTATTTGCAGTTGATAGCGAGGTACGTGGTATGTTGGCTATAATACTATTTATAACAAATCGATAACATTAAAGATTTGCATTCCCAAAATTGATCATATTTCAATGATTTGAGATAACATGAGCACTATTTCTTCTGTTCATGATAACATTTTCATCTAAGGAGGAATGATATGCAACTGAATTCTGTATTGTTTTTATATTGTATATGAAAAGAGAAAATCATTGAGGAGTGTATACTTGCGCCTTATGTATAATTTTCACTTAATTTTCATGAATAATGTTAATCCGACATTCACTTTTTAAATTTAATTAATGCATTGATCTCGAGGAGCTTGAAATGTAATTCAAATGTATCAATTCAAGCTCAAACAAGGTAAATATATGTGTATAAGTATAATCATGGTTATGCTACGTAATTTCAACAAAGGCATATTTATTTGACTTTGTTAATCTTCATGTATATCTTATTTTGTAGTGAAATCATTTACGCGGTTATAAGTGCTTTCGACGTGATTATGACAAGTTTAACCCTCATCATAACATCATGCTGCAGTAATGTTGACTACATCATGACGCTGTAAATATGCCTTTGTTTCCTTTGTTTGTTTTTCTGCTTAACTATGTTATTACGTTTATGATTAGATAGTAATGAAAATAATAATAATGATAATAATAATAACGGTGGTTTATAAAGCGTTTCAGCAAATACAGTGTAACCGACCAAAAGCGCTTACAATATGATCCCGGTCACTGGATTCTTTTACGATCTTGCACTTTACAGCGCACATTCTCCACTCCCCATCCACCTCTACAACACATTATTACAACGATGATATTGGGTTGACTGTCCTGACGAATATTCAAGAATATAGGATCAAAGAACAATAGATAATAGTGTCCTTACCCGTATGGTTGTGGTCCGACACATCAGAAAGTTCTTCAAATCTCGTATTTTCCCGTCGCATCCCGTTCTTTAAAGCCCGCCGATGCGCTGCGGTGCAATGATATACTGGATGCAGGCAGCTAAGTGCTCAATCACATCTCGGATGCAAGTAAATGAATGAGCATTTCCTGCTGAACGCAGACGTATGTCGTGGAGGAGGAGGAGAGGGGTGGAGGGAGGAGGAGATGGAAGAGGAGAGCACGAAGAATGAAGTGATGGTGAAGCGGATTTTCGCGATGATGCGGCTATACGTGCTCGATGCGCAAGACGCAGCACGACCCACAAGTGTTTTTCTTCTCACGGATTCGTCTACAAAATTTGGGTGCACTTTTACCCCCTCCCCCCCTCCCCCCCCCCCCCCTCCGTTTTTCTGTCTGCCTAAATACAATTTGCAATTTAAAGGGGGATTCAATATTTTCCATGGATAGGGAGGGGGGCTCAGCACGATTTTTGAGTGGTTTATTCACAAGGATGCATTTACAAATTTTGGCGCGCTCCTTGATCCCCCAAATCTGTCTTCAGATATTTGTTTCCGTTTAGCTGAAATCCTATCTACATCAGGCGAACCAGGATTTTTCGAAAGTGGAGAGGAGTAATGGCATTACTCTTTTTCAGCGTAATTTGATTCACGATAATTTTGGAGGGGTATATGTGTCCTTTCTCATATTTTTATCCATTTACAGGTTTGTTTTCATGTTTTGTTTTTTCAGCTTGGGTTCCGGTCATTTTTACCAGTCCCCCCCCCCTTCCACTCCCCATCTGCCTTTGAATATCATTGAAATTGTCATTTTCTAGTTTTTCAAAATAATTTCTTCTTGAGCTTTTCCTCGTGATAAACAACCGAGTAAAAGTTAAAACAATATCGATCATTACAAGGGGTAATTCTACCTGTGATTTTTACTGTCCGTATATAAATAAAAAGACCCGAATTAACTTTTCTGACGGTTCCTTTGGTCAGTACCATATTACTCTACGGCTTCAGTCATCCGCTTTCAAAAGTGTCATACTGCACATGCATGTATTTGATAATAATGTTTCTGTTCTGATTTTACCTCTCTCTGCAAATTTTAAGTTTGTGACGCGAGCGACATGACTACGAATTTGGAAAATATAATTAAACATCCTCAGTTGCGATAAATAATTGTACAGTACGTGTAGGGGAAAATAAAAATGAGAGAGAGAGAGAAAGAGAGAGGGGGGAGGGAGAGACAAAGACAGAGACAGACATAAACAGAGAGACAGACATATATAAATACAGAAACAAAGACGGACAGACATTGACAGGTATAGAGAGGCAGATAGAGAGACAGACCGGTTTTCTTTTTTTAGAAATCATTTATTTACATCTCGATCAGCGCCATTCAACCTCTCATGGATTAGGAGGCTATATACCTGAAAATATAGGCTTTGAGCGGGATCTGGTATCATTAGGGTGACTATGGTGATTGAATTTACAGCTGATTTATTTGTATTTCAGTTATTATGAATCGTTAACTATACTCAATGACGTCATACAGTAACCCTATAGGTCCGAACTATATAAGTCCGAACTAGGATGAAGCCGGGCTTCAGTACCTCCCCATTGAAATTTAACGAAAATTTGACGGAGAGAGAGAGAGAGAGAGAGAGAGAGAGAATGAAAGAGGGAGAAAATGAGAGAGAGAGAGGGAGAGAGAGAGAATGAAAGAGAGAGAAAATGAGAGAGACAGAGAGAGAGAGAGAGAGAGAGAGAGAGAGAGAGAGGCGGTGAAAGATGATAGGACCGGCTATCATCCTTTCCCTATAATCAATGACCATTTATTCGAATTTCAATCTACAGTGTATTCTACCCGCCCCACCCCCTCCCCCAGACTAAAAAGGAGAAAATAACAAATAATTTAACAAAATTTATAAAATTGATAAATAAAATAAGTAAATAAATAAGTAAATGAAAAGGTGAATTAATGAATAAATAGTTGTATAGATCTAAATAAATTAAATCTAACAAAATTGGCCTACTTAAACCTATGATTGTTATAAGTTCGCCTCTCCGGCTCATGCAGCATCAAGCCTATGATTCGTTGAATTAAGTATACATTATCTTCTAGCTCCATGCATCTTCTTCTTCGTCTTCTTCTTTTTATTATTTTTCTTAATCTTCTTCTTAATCTTCTTCTTCCTTATTATTCTCTTCTTTATTTTAATTTACATTCCCCCTTTCCCACTTTCTCCCTCTTCTTTACTTTTCCCTCCCCATCCTCCTCCCCCCCCCCCCCCCCCCCCCTCCCCCCTAGTCCTCCTCCTCAGGAGGTTGGCGCTATTTAAAAGCAATCATTTGTGATGCAATCAAAATGATGCGGCACATTTTGAACGGGAATGGTAGCTGAGTCTCGAACTCTCCAAATTAAATACATGTGTTTATGCAAAATTTACAAACATAAACACAAATGCCGCGTAAGTCTGCATGAAAAGATTCATTTTCTCCCGAATCTGAAATCCGTGCGTGAAAAGTGCTCTGCCGTCGTACACGAAATGCCAAATTGCAGTGACCTGAGCGGTTGTTGAAAGTGAGTCGACAATTTTCCCCCTTTTTGGGCATAGTCTCGCACGTCATACTTCGGAATGTGAGTGACAGTGATTCATTCTTCACTGAGGCGTCGACAGAACTAAACTTATTTTCCCATTGCTTTCGTTTGTCAATTTCTGGAAAAATGGATCAACCAGAGCCAAAAGACGTACATCTTTACATTTATGATTTAACGAAAGGCCTTGCTCGTCAGCTATCCCTAGCATTACTGAGTAAGTTTCATCTTTCTTTTGCGATTTTTCTCAGACTCGGTCCCATACGCTCATAATTTTGTTAGTAAAATGTGTACTTTGCAATTATATTGTTGACATCATGTTGTCACTAGAAATGTCATGTTGTAGGTATAATTTAGCATGAATAGATGTTTCCAGTGTTGAGTAAATCAAGGCTAGACGGCGTTGTTGTACTTTCGCAATTCCGTTCATTCATTCAGTAAATATGGAAAGCCAAAGCAAAGGCTAAGCAGTAGACTCTAAGTGTAAGCAAAGAAAAGACCACTCGATATGCGCTCTTATCATGCTTAAAGTCACTCCAGCAAAGCATAGAGAGTCTTACATCTACAGTTACAATGCATGAAGTCTCTGCTTTGCATGATTCTTATTTCCTCCAAAATCAGGATTTGGGTATCGAAATAGATCTTTCCTTTGCATTTTATTTAATTTAATGAAATCATCATTTTTTTTAATGAAATCATCATGCTAAGTACATTAGCACAAGCCTAGCAATACAGGCCTCGGTATAGCCTAGGTGTTGATTTTTATAGTACTGCTGGCCTTTGAGCTTTGGTCTTGGCCTCAAGCGAAGCCTGGGCTGAGTTAGACAGAAAGAAATGTCTCTTTCTTCCATTACAACTTTTGCTATCATATCTTCTCTTTGTGTGATATCCTTTTCAGATAAACAAATTGATGGAATATGGCATACAGGGATTGTGGTCTACGGCAGAGAGTATTTCTTTGGCGGTGGAGGAATAGAAAGTTGCAGGCCGGTAAGTAGTTCAGGAGTTTAAAGAAAGATGTTGGAATATTACCCCAGTCAGTCCAGCAAGTACTGACATAGACCAAACAAGAAGTGGAGGTGTTGTGGTATAGTGATTCATTCACTTCACTCTCAATCTGAGGGTTGAGTGTTTGAATCTCAGACTAGCACACATGCCTTTTGGCAAGACATTAATCCACATTTGTCACTCTCCACCCAGGTGTTAACTGGGTACAGTGTACCTTGCAGGAGTCATCCCTTGAAATGCACTGTGTGTTGATTATGGCTGCCAGAGCAAAACTAGGGTAATAATATCCATCCTCTTTGGAAGCACATAAGGATATTATATAATAAAGTAATATGCGCTATACAAAAATGTGGTTTTATCATTATTATTATTATTATTAAGAAATTGGATTTGCTCAAATATTTAAGAATCTTCTAATATCATATAAAGTGAAACCTGTATATAAAGACTGCTCAAGGGATGCAAGAAAAGTAGTCTTTATAGGCAGGTGGTCTTTGTGTACATGTACAGGTTCCTGTGATACAGATTTCAATGATCAAATATCAAGGGTTATATTCATATACCCACTAAGTCTAGTTGTCAACTATAAACAAGTACTATAGACTATGTCATTAGTTAACATCTAGCCTAGTATTAAGTTTTATGAATAGGGGCCCTTGGACCCGTTTCACAAAGCCTCTTTGCAATGACAAATGGCAAAAATCAGCGACAAATCTGTCGATAACCAATCAGAAGCAAGGATTGATTTCAGTAGCTTATAACAAAAACTGTCATTTGTCACTGAAGACAAGTTTTGTGAAATGGGGCTCTGGGCTTTTTAGATAGGTAGTCGCCAATGCACATTTTGACTGTAATTATCTTTCTTGCTGTCAATGTTTTAGTGTGGAACCATCCTAGGACAGCCGACACAGGTGCACAAGATTGGATCCACACAAGTCTCCTACTCGCTCTTCTTGGAATATCTCGGAGAGATGGGCATGTCTGCATTCAGGTATACCAACAAATCAATTACAGATTTATGATGATGATGATAATGAAAGCAGTTACAGTGATAACAACGACAAAAATAGATAAATACTCTACTAATACTACTACATCTACTACTTTTACTAGTTACTACCATGACTACTAATTGTAGTTATGATTGATAATGATACTGATAGAAATAATATTACTACAAATAATTACAAAAAAATTTACAATATTAGTTATGATTTATTATGATAGAAATAATGTTTTATCGGTATTAATAATACTACTACTGATAATAATGAATATATTAGTTATGATTGATGACAGTGATAATGAATAATTATGATAATAGAAGAAAAAGACGATGGTGACAACGACGATGGTGATGATGGCAAGTTCAATTGCTTTATAAATATTGTTTGTCACACTCTTGCCCATTATAGGGGTTTGATTGTTGATGCTATGCCAGGGCAATTTTTTTCATGCTACGCTATCTCTCTCTTCAAAATCTTTCAAAAACATTTCTTTTTTTAAAATTTTGTTTTCTGCCATATTTCACCTACTTTTAGTGGAGATACATACAACCTGATTAACCACAATTGCAATAACTTCAGCAACGAGGTGGCCCAGTTCCTAACAGGCAACTCTATCCCAGCACACATCACCGATTTACCACAGGAAGTACTCAACACGTAAGTCTGCATACCGGTTTATATACCTCACTTAAGAAATCCAGCCATCTGATTGGTCGAATTGCATTCATAAACTTCAACTGTTCCTGTAAAATTCCCGGTAACCATGCATAAAACATTTCAATATTTTTAATAACCATGGTTATTAAAAAAAATAGGTCAGTCTCCATGGTTACCCCATAGGTTTACATGTTAAAAAATGGTTTGAGCGATGGAGGATACCATACGTGTGCGAAAAATTGGTCGGCAATTTCAATACAATTGAATCTCGATCGATCTTACCGACAATTTTATCTTGCATTGTTGACATGAAGACGAAAATTAACTCTCAAAAACAAAAAAACAACATCTGCCGATAGATCTTGATCTAAGTTCGTGCCAATATGCATTGCAAAAGTAAAAGAAGGGTCCATTTCATGGAGCTTTTGCGAAGCATTCATCACACGCGAAGCCGGTTTCAATCCATTTTAATGTATATATCGTACAAAACTGCCAAGCATGTTAATAACGCGCGATGGCCGAGAGGTCTAAGGCGCTGACTTTAGATATATCACCTTTTGTACGCAAGAGTTCGAATCTCATCTTCGACCAAAAAAAAATATTTTTTATTTTTTATTTTTTAGTCTATTTTTTTCGGCATATAAAAGTATTAATGACTGCTTTAATATTCGAGAAATAGTTGTTTTCATACGCTCTCGGGAAGGTTACAATTGGGCTATTCCCCTCGGCAAGCCTCGGGGAATAGCACAATTCTAACCTTCCCTTGAGCGTAATAAAACAACTATTTCTCTCAAAGCAGTCATTAATACTATAATATATGTAGTGTGAATCATTTCAAGTATTTCTCTCCGATTTAAAATGTACCAATTACCTAAAATTACAAATTTGTGTGCTGCTAGAAATATATCAAATTAACTTTAAATACTTTACCCGACATTATATCAGTTAACGGTAAAGGAGTATTTATGAAATAAAGAATTTCATAAAACAGTACACACAGATTCCATTTCGGACTATTTTGTGTGAGCGCATCAGGGTACATCAAGCAGTCTATTCACAGGCAGCCTTCCTGTTAATTGTGTACCGGTATTTAGACTTGCAGTTTATCTTAACAGAAAGAGAAATATGCCCCCTTGCCCTTGCTTTCAATGTCTGTCTCTCCCCTCTCTCTCTCTCTCTCTCTCTCTTTCTCCCTCTATCTCTCTCTCTCTCTCTCTCCCTTTCTCCCCCTATCTCTCCCTTTCTCCCTATCTCTCTCTCTCTCTCTTTCTCCCTCTATCTTCCTCTCTCTCTCTCCATCTCTCTCTTTCTCTCTCTTTCTCCCTCTTTCTCTCTACCCCCCCCCCCCTCTCTCTCTCTCTCTCTCTCTACCTCTGTATGATTCTCCCAACTCTCCCTTTACCTCCTACAGACCCATAGGTCAAGCGATGAAGCCTCTCATCGATGCTCTCGCCTACAATCCTACGGGCAACCGCCCTGACTCAGAGGGGGGTCCATCTGTCTACGATGCCCAAGCCAGCGGGGCAGGTGGCAAACCGCTGCCGGCCACTCAAACTGCTTCAACTTCTACTAGCACTAAAGGTATAGATTTGTTGTATGGATATTGCCTTTATGCTATGTTCCGATGGCATCAGCAGAGCTATGGAAACAAAATATCAGAATATACATGTATATTTAAAAATTGTGATACTGTTGACAGCTTTAAAATGTGTCTTAAAACGTTTCTATTTAGAAACAATTTCCATTGTTAACAATTGACTTAAGGAAGTATTCTGTTTGTATATCACCCTTCTCTATTATTTCATTTTTCTTTCCTTCTGTCCATTACAGCGCATTAGTTTGTGTGCTTCACTATGCTGTTGTTCTTCAAAGAATAAGGAATTTCATGAAGCTTGTAAAGCTATCTAGGGTGCCACTATAGTGTAACTGGGTTCTTAATTTGAACATCATGTATCAAAGCTATCTATAGAATTTACAGAACTTTCTAAACACTAAAAACTAAAAAGCAATGATTTGAGTGCAAGGTTTCTTTACCTTTTAAGGATAATTGGAGATCTTTGAGGGGGTAATGAATGTGTCATTAGTAAAAGAATGCCATTTGAAACTATGCACAATTAAATTTCAGAGAATAACTATCATTATTATCATCAACATCATCATCGTTGTTATCTGGAAACGAGGAGAGGTAGATCCTGTAATCCTTGGTCACTTCTTCAAGTATCTGAGGCATTGAACTACATATAGCTGGGGAGGGACAGTAAAAGCACAGACCAGTTTCATCAGGAAGGGTCGCAAGGCCAAAGCATCACTGATCGTGGTACAAAGACACTTCAATGGAATATTATTCAACATATGTTTGAGGAATAACCGAAAAAGAAAGATTTTCAAGATATTTTTAAATGCTTCAGTTCATTATTTTGGTAGCTTTACCAGGGGGCTGTTTCTTGAAACCGTCATAAGTTTAACTTTGTAGACATCCCATGAAACGTGTGTTATATAATTATAGAATTAACATGCATTTCTATGGGATATCCACAAACTTAGACTTATGACGGTTTCAAAAAACTGGCCCAAAGATGCCAGGATGGCATTGATATTCAGTGATATGTTAATAGTGAAATATCATAATTGATAATTAATTTCAAAACTACCCAATCCCTTTAATAGTGAAATATCATTGTTGATACTGAATTTCAGAATCGACAGAAAAGTCTGAAGAAGCCAGTAAACCCAAAAAAGCACCTGAAGCGACCTATAACGAGGAAGAGGAAGAAGACAACGACCTCTTCCTAAAGAAGTTGAGGGAGCGAAGGCAATCAAGATCAATCACAAGGCTTTGCCTCTTCAGAGATGGTGATGTAAGTTGTTTCATCATATATTCATCATACAGAAAATCAGAAATAGGTAGCATGTACATGCAGTAGCACAGACAGCAATTAGGTGTGTCTTTGTGCAGTGGTGCATTCACCTTACTTTTAGAAGTTTCAGAGATTTGGGGTTCAGTTCCAGCCTAGCACTAGTGCCAGTCGACAAGAATAAATATAATCCCTTGCTGGGTGCATTTTAAATGGTTGCCTGGCAAGAAGTTATTACTTCAGAGAGATTTATTAGCCTGTTCGAAAACTAAGTTAGTAATACTAGAGCACCTCTTCCTTTTTCTTCCACATTTTACTCCACTGCCACTTCTTCTTCTTCTTCTCCTTCTTCTTCTTCTTCTTCTTCTTCTTCTTCTTCTTCTTCTTCTTCTTCTTCTTCTTCTTCTTCTTCTTCTCCTTCTCCTCCTCCTCCTCCTTCTTCTTCCTCTTTTTTTTCTTTGTCTTCATATTCCCCATCCTCATCTTCTCCCACTCAATTTTCTTATACTTATGCACAAGTGAAGAGAATTTCCTTTTTGTATGTTTCATCTTCTCTTCTTCTCTTCTTCTCTTCTTCTTTTCTTCTTTTTCTTCTTTTTGTAGGAGTAAAGGAGCAGTGCTATTGATATTATTTTTACAATTTTTCATATTTCTGTCCATTTTGCAGCCAGCAGCATTCACAGACAGCATCAAACAGCACCTTCCTCAGAGCCTCCTTACTGCGGATGAGATGATGATCTTAGACCAGATGAAAGATGCCTTCCAAGCGCCTAGCGACAGTCTCCTAGACGATGACTGGGATAAAACTCTACCTCCTGTCAAACCAGACTACTTCCTGGTCATAGGTCAGTGATTTAACCCAGGGTGTCCAACAGTGCTTTGACGGGCATGTGCATATTCTTGATCCCCTCCTCCTTCTTCCTTCTTTCCCCTCCCCCCCCCCCCCCCCCTCCCTCCTCCACAAAACAAAAAAAGGTCAATGTATGATGTCTCTTATAAACACTTTTAAACAATGACTAAAACTTGCTATTTCCATCTCAGATTTCCCTACTCTCCATAACATAATATGGTAATGCACTGGTTCTTAATCTGGGGGGGGGGGTATAACATCCCAAGGGGGTCATTTTGCTTTTTGGGGTTTTCAACGAAGAAATAAATGGGTCATAAATGGAGCATCCTTCTGAATATACACCTGTATCTGACCATGGAGTTAATTAAGGTGGGGGGGGGGGGGGTACAGCAATAACAGCATGTGTCAGATGGGGATTTAGGTGAAGGATGAGTGAAAAGGTTAAGAACCACTGCTGTAATCCATACATAAAGAGTTTGGCTCCAAAGTTCTTGATAGAATTACAAGGATTTTTCTCTCATTTGGTATTATTGATTTGGAATCAACTTGGTCGGCTGTACTATTTTTTTTAATTTTTGAAATTTATAAATGGGACTATAAAATCACTCTTTAAAAAATTCCAAGGGGGTGTTTCACAAAGATTCAAAGTCAAACTTAACTCTTAAGTTGGACTTAAATATTATGGAGAGCCATATGTAGCCTTATTTTGAAATATATTCAAAAGCAAAAATTATTCTAGACTTTTCATAAATTTCACATCAAGAACATTCCCATGATTTCCCATGATTTCCCATGATAATATGAATGATTTGAATTAACATTTTATGCCTTTTAAAATAACTTTTACAAAAATATTTTCAAGGATTCCAAATGGCTTTCCATTATTGTTAAGTCCAACTTAGAGATAAGTTCAACTTGTGAAACACCCCCCTGGTGCCATAACTTTTTGGAAATGTATACCGGTAAGTTATTCTTAAAATCTGTGAAGGTAGCATTATAACCATCTTACCAAGTGCACCATCATGGAACAACATCCAAGATCTCCTACCATATCCTCTTATTCTCCAGGAAAGCTACTTGGTAGGACGGACCTACCCCCTGTGGTGCTGGTCCCACTACTCCAGCTCCTCCAGCTGGCCTTCCTCAGGGAGGACGTCATTGGTCTCCTCTGCACCAACGAGGACAGGACCATCATAGACTTTGTGAGCAGGGCAGAGGGGCAGCCGCAGAAGGTCCAGGTCGAGATCATTCACTTGGTGAGTAGGTTGTACAAGACACATGCTTCAGCCACTACTGCTCTGACAATAGTTGAAGTTTAAAGTTTGAAGTTTATTTATTCAAAAAAACAATTTTTTTTTATTTTTTTTTTTATACAAGCATTTAAGAGTAGATTACACACAACAACAAAAAATTAAGATTCCAAATCAAGTATAATGTACACAAAAAAGGTAAAAAGTTTCGTAATATATAGATATGACAGGCAAGGTAAAACAATGTAAAATGTGGGGAGCCTAAATAAAAAGCATAGCTTGTATGTGAATAGGCTCCCGTACTGAGTAACACAATATAGTAGGTTGGAATCTAAAAGGTATTATAAGAGGCAAAAACGAAGTAGTATAGTATGAGATTCTAGAGCTGTACAAGGAGAGTGAATTTGAGAAGAAAAGAAAAATAGAATAAAGAGTAAAGAAAATAGTATAATAGTGATAAGCAGGAGAAGGTGAATAAGGGAAGGAAGAGGAAGAAGAGGAAGACGAAAAAGAATTGGAAGACGAAGAGGCAGAAGAAGAAGAAGAAGAGAAAGCAAATTGATGAAATCAATGGCATTGTAAAATAACAAAAACAAAAGTCTGTATAACTTGTAGTTGGAGGTCTTGTGGTGTGTAGTGGTCCATTCACTTGACTCTCAATCCAAAACCGAAGGAACTTGGTGTTAAGATTTAACTGCAGAATATATGATTAATGGTGTGATTAATACTTTAATTACAGGATATGGATTCCTTGGCCCCTGTATTGTGTAATTACCATTTGGAATTAATGTGTTATTGAAACAAATGAAATATGAAAAATGACAAAATGGGCAGTAAAAACAAAAAAACATATGAATGAAAATTATAATTAAAATTGAATTTGCGTCATTTCAGCTTTGTAACATGTGTGCCAGCAGTCAAGGATACGCCTGGGTCATCTCGGAGAAAGAATGGAAAGCGCCCTCTGCCAACGGTTCCTCTACGTCTAATATGAAGATTATCAAGGCCATCGTTATAGCCATGCTGTTGAGTGGATCTGATCAGCTGTGCGAGGCAGCCGCTTCTCTCGTCTTCAACTTCACAAGACACAAGGTACATTGGAAAGCCAATCATGCAGAAGAAGGGGTTCAATCATTTGTAGTTTGCTAACTTCAATTTTAGTCAGCTTGGGTCTGTATGAAGGGTTTAAGATTTGTTTTCTATTTAGGTTTAGGGTAAGTACAGGTTAGTACTCAATCAAGCGAACTAAAATTAAAGTTAGCAACCTACAAATGATATGGCCATCGAAAGTGCGTTTCTCCCGGATTTGAAAGAATATTGATATATTAATAGAGATTTTGTTCAAATGAGTAACCTAACTATGATTTAGCTTTCAAGAGTTCATTTCTGTGGATGAGAAATGATGATGACGTATAAATTGAGCTTTTGTAGTGTGATAAGCACATTGAATGCTAAGCCTTGGCTATCTGAGCTGGAATGATGCCATGGAGCCCTTTACATGTAGTTAGTTAGCTTCAGCAAAATACGTATGGTACATTCATATTGCATGTAAGCACAGCTGCACGGCAAGAAAAAAAATGCAAGTGGTTTCAAAGAGGAAGTCCACCCTAATATTTACTTGGTGGCAATAAGAGTAGTAAATTAAGGGAAACAGATAAGTAAAACTTCAACTAAATCTGATCAAAGTTGTAATCTTTGAAACTCAAATTGACAACGATGTGACATATCTTTTGAGGTCCTTTCCTATTTAATCTGCACTGAAGAGTTTATTAAATTTCCATTCCCTTATTGAAAGGATAGATTTATTTGATATACAATTTATATTTAGAGGCCGAGTAAAAACATACTTGCAAAGATGATATCAAGGATTTGCTGAGTAGAAACTCTTGTTATTCTCTGTCTCCTCTCTATAAATATTGTAGGAAAAATCTTCTGGCTTCAGAAAGTCCACAGGAGTGGAGGAAAGCTTGCCTACTGAATCTTAAGGATGGTAGAAGCATAAATTACAAATCACATACATATATGTTCTCTGTTTATTTTTGCAGCTTGTAGATGACAACGCAGTTGATTTCGGAAGTGCTTTGCTGCAGGTACTATCCACAGGGGAGTTTTCAGAGCCAACAGGTAAGTAGTAGTCAATTCAAAGCATTAGATAATGACATTTCCAGATAATTTTCCATTTTTTTTACTAAAGAATGTCATTAACATTTTAATACAAGTTCAATGATATGATATATTAGCTAATATGAGGTACTTTCATAAACATTTATGTTTCTTATCAACCATTCATCAACTATCTGAAATATTGAATTTTATATACTTTGTTATGGAATGTCAATTTTGAGTTGGTTTTATGGTGGTGTTGATTTTTTTCTTTTTTTCACTCTTTTAATGTTGTTTGGCAGTAATGTTCTTACGTACCTTAGCTGCGCAGAGCTGGCTGATAATGCACATGTATTTACTATATGCACAATACCATGAACATGGGGAATACATTAAACCAGCCGGCCCTGCACAGCATTACTGTGCAATGTCCTTCAAGCTAAACTGGCTTTGTAATCCCTACCTCTTATACTCCCCTTCCAGTTTACTACGGCATAGGCTCCCTCTATGGTTTGATGGGGAACGTGGAGGTGCTTTGTCTTGCCAACGTGATGGGGTTCAACACGGACAAGTGGGTGGGGCTCTCGGACAGGATCAATCAGATTATCTATGACATGTGTCTTCTCCTAGAAGAAAAGTAGTCAGGTACATTACTCATGTCCCTTTAACCTGAAGTCAAACCTGTCTTTTAAAGGCATCGTTTAACAATGTTAAATCTGAGATGCACGGCCCTAAGTGTTATCAGTGTCTGTGATATGGTGTAATATTGAAGCCCTAAAAATTGCGCTTCAAATAATCATGAAGTGCCTCAAAACGTTAAAATCTTTGAGTTACCGGTTTTACCATACTCATTTTTCCCAAAAGACGGTTAGTGTTTTAAAAACTGTTAGAAAAACGAATGCTGAAATTTTTAATTCCAATCATAGATATCTTGATAATCAGACAGGCGATGGGCTTGTAAAAGTCAGTGGATTCATGTATGACCTAAAGGTTAATAATTATGACTGCAGCATGAGCTAAATCCAGGATTTTGTTTTAGAATCTGAGGCAAAGTTACCCAGTCCATTTAATAGCTGCCACCTGTCAATAATGGTCACCCATACTGCATCCCTCTCAAAAAAAATGTGTGCTGTAAAACCTGATAACAAAATTAAACTGATTGACTCTTTGTGTAGCACAAAACGTACAACCATTCGGTAAAAGGGTCTGAAAATCAGACTTTTACTTAGGTGATTGCAATCACTTACATGAAAGTTGATTCAACAACTAATGGTCGTTATTTTCCCACTTAAAGTCGTTTGCAAGCCCTTTCGTTTTGAGAGAAGTTGTAAATTGGTATTGTCTTTCAAATGCCGTTAGAATTTAACCTTTTCATTTTCTGGGCCTGCAAATGGGACATAGTACCTTTAATTAAGAGGAGCTTTCAGTTGGTATTATCTTTTGTTTACCATAGGATTTACATAATTTTTGTATTTTTAGCCTGCAAAAGGGACAGACTACCTTTAATAGACAGGTTTGACTGTATTTACACATACTGTACATGATGAATGTCAAAGCTGTATCCCTCCTTAAAGCATATGTTATAATATACATTAATATGTGATATACTATCTTCAGGGGGGGGGTCCATTTATCTGTGAAGCAGGGGGGAGCAAAATTGTTAATCAAAGGTTTACGCTGCATAGGATAAATAATTATTAATTCCAAAATTAAATTGTGTGTGTGTTTGGGGGGGGGGGGGGGCAAGTGTTCATTTGGAATAAGAATAAGCCCAGTTTAGGGGTACTGGAACAGATGATTACCTTATACATTTTTTCACAAGGAATATGCTTCAATGCTGAATTATCATAGTGAACACACAAATTGTAAGTTTTACTCATGAAAATCATGTAAACTGGATGTGTGTTTTTTTTATTTTAATGTTGCACTGTAGAACCCATTTTGTATTTCTAACTGGTTACCGGTAATGATAAAACATCAATTTTTCCATAGATTAAAATGAAATGTATTTGTAAAACTTTCAATGTAAAACAGACAATGTATGAAAACTGCTGAATTGATTTTAAAGGAAATCAACAATACACTGTATTCATGCATGTCTTTGAGCAATACTAGTACAGTTTGTATTTACAGAAATGTGAGGATATTTGGGTGGCACAGGCCAACACCAAGTTTTCCACTTAATAATAATAATAATAATAGTGGATTCTTATAAAGCGCTCATATCTGTCAGACTTGACAATCCTGATGCTCCGCAATCATTACCCCAGCCTTAGCATGGCTGCTATTACGGCTCTCTAGTATTTCAAGAAATAAATTCCTGCCAGGTACCCATTTACCTCACCTGGGTCAAGTGTGGCAAATGTACATGTAGATTGATGTCTTGCCAAACGTCAGCTTCTACTTGTACATGGCTCGATGCTTTTCAGTATGTGTACCGCAGATAGCTACAGTGTATCAGGAAGCTTTTTGAATAATATTTAAACTTTTTGCTGCTTTCGATAATCCATCGTAAGCATGTGTCAGGATTTTTTTGTCTACAGCATAGGAAGAAGGAAAGAGGAAGAACCCATGCAAATGGAATGGAATATGTTATTTATTTTCTTGAAAATGGGTACAATTATGGGAAGAAAGAGTTACCAGTAGACAAAGTTTTTCTGAAGATAAAGAAAGACTACTGTAACTAAAGCTAACATTTCTGAACATATTCATATGACAGACAGTTGGTTTTAAACAGGATTATAATTCTCCTATTTTCTATTTCCAGAAGTATTATTATGAAGACTGCTGTATTCATGGTGAACGTTTTTTATTTTTTCCCTGATTTGGTTTATGAACCAAGAAAATCTTGCAGATTGCGATTTTGTATTGTGTTTCTGTTACAATTATGTCATAAATCGATGATCTACGCATAGATAGAGATTTGGGAATGACTCTAAAGGGACGGTGCATCATGATTTTCTAAATGTGTTTGAATTTGTTTTGCCTACATTCTAGCAATACTTAAGCAATTCAAGCTATAAGCAATTTTTTATGTGCATGAATTTTTAAGTTCATGCATGAAATAATAGTTATGCCAAACAGATCTTAATTGTATATTGATCATCAAAATACTTTTTTTCCCTCCAAATTATGGACGTACATGTATGTTCATGACCTAGCTCAAGTAGCAAAACCTAGTACGTGAAGAAAAAAAGCCCATCAACTTCAGGTGATCTAATATTCATATTCCGTGATTTCATTTCACTTTACTTACATATTGTGTTTATTCTAATATTCAGGATTACTATAAGACTCTTTCTTAATCAAGGCATGAGAAGTATTTCTCTCAATTCCTTTTTTTAAACAAAATCAACAAGTCATTGTTTGGAGAAAAAAAGTCATAAATCCTTTCCTGTAAAGCAGTTTTTTTTTTGAGACAGGCATTTTGTTTAAACGAGCTAATACATTGATTAATGTTTTATTCAAATACAACTTTGCTACGTAAAGGGCAATTTTATATTTCTATTGCAATTCAAATGTCTACATTTTTAATTTGAACAATGAAATGCTATACTTATTTAAGAATTCTAAAAAAAAAGTTTATACGTTATTTTGTAAAACATTATTTATAATGAAAGAATGTGAATAAATTGTATTTATTGCTATCAGTTTCGACAAAATCTTGTATTTCTGGTACATGTTTATTTGCTTCTTCTAAAGAACTAGATATTGTACGAGAGACCGACTATCGTCGGCTCTCAAATGGCTAGAAAAATAAGAATCAAGGATTTTGTATTCTTGAAATGGGCATTTGAACGCAATGTACACATATGTACCCTAAATGTACCTGTTATCATGAGTAAGTTTTCTTTTGATGTTTATTTTGGATTTTACTTATCATTAGCAAGGACGCTGAGTGTTGTAAAAGATTATAACCACTACATTTAGCTTAAAGTTTTGAAATGACCGTCATTCAAATCACTTCCAACAGAACAAAACAGCGTCACTACATTCTAGGAAAGTTAAAAGAGGAAATTTATTTTCAGTCACCAAATTGGAAGACCAATTTTTTTTTTTAAATCTTATATTTATAATCTAGCTGTCACATTATCCACATATCCTTGTCAAACATAGATGTACAGTTGTTTTTAATTCAGATGTGGATTTAAGAATATCTAACACATATCAATTTCTATACAGAGAAAAGCTGACAAAATTAGTACCAACGTAAAACGTAATTTAATAACAATTTGGAATGTATAATAAGGAATGTCTTTTCCCCAGCCACATACTAACAAGAACACCAGTACTTTGGCTCACTTTGTTGGCCTCCTTGCAGTCTTATACTGAGACAATCAGCCCATTAAGTATTAAGTATATGGGAATAGGAAAATTCAGTACTCAGCAGGTTAACTTTGACTTTGGTCCTGATTGATGCAAAGCCAAAATTCTAAAGTGTACCAATCACCTTTAAATATCGGTAAAATACCATTTGTCTGGAATCTATCAAATCAACCTCGAAACAATTTACCTGGCATTCTATAGGTAAGCATTCAAGGAGTATGAAGTATACAAAAGATAACATGAAACCCTGCGTATAGCGCTTGCATGGAACCCAAGTTGGACCTATTCTGTAGAGTGCGTGCACATGCATTAACCAGTCTACTGAACAAGCATTTTACTGTTCACTTAGAATGTACATAATTGCAATATCTCTTTGAAGAAGTAATGTTTCAAGCTGATATTTCGAATATGCCGTTATAGCCAAATGGAACCCCTTACATCAAAAGAAAAACATGTTTTTTTGATTGGTACATTTTAAATATTCTCTTCAGAACTTTTAGATGAAAGACGCTAGCTTATAAAGTCCTTCCGGCATTCTTACTGCATCCTACCATGACAGTGAAATTGATCAATAACTATAACTAAATTTATTCTGCAAAAAAGATTCTGTCAGATACAGCACTAATATATACATATCTATACATCTTCTTGTAAAATTGTACTTTTTTCTCTTGTATACCGACAGATTTTACTTTAATAAGCTATCCTCTTTTTCTGTACATGTAAGCTCCTACATGTATCTCTTTTAATACTCACTTTTGTATTCTTCATTTTTATTTTTACTGAACTCTTTAACTGTCATGAATGTTGGAACATCAAACACAGCTATTGCAGAACTTCTGAGTAATGAGAGACTGAAGCAGTACCCAGTATTGCTGTAACATTTACAAAACATCCTAGCAAATCCAGTGCTATACAGTGTATATAGAATCACCAAAGATACGTCCAATTAACCTTTACTACAAACATACAATCACGACTAACGAAACCTGGAATTTTCAAATTAAAATGAATCGTAACAAGATTTATGGAAGATTTCTCTGTGTAACTTCATAATTTCAACAATCATTATTCCTGTTAAAATCTATCAGTCAAGTCTACAGCCTTGTATGTGCATGTAGACAAACTATCCAAGTATCACCATGCATAAACTTCTACATCATTATCATTTTTACCACTATCTAGTACAAAGAAAGTTCACCAAATATTCCACTCCCCTCTTTAACTCTTTATCTGCTTTCGTTGACTAATGAAACATAAAGACGACTGCCATAGTCAACTTTTTTGTCACATGTATGATGTGTATGTACAATATACTTCAAAACAATGTAGCAGTCCGTTGCAGATAAAGAGTCGATATCCTACACCTGAAAGTAACTATTATGTAATGAGGGGTTTGACGTCACTGAAAGACTGCATCTCGGCCGGTGAAGGCGGGGGAAGCCCGGTGGCCTCCGAGCCCCCTTGGATGGGAGGGTCGTCACCAGAAGGGTCGTAGCTGGGATTGGCATAGTTGACGTTGGAGAACTTGCTGTTGACGTTCTCCATGTCGATTCCCTGCGGCTGCAAGGCCAGGAGTCGCCGACGTCGATGTCTGTAGAACAATAATGGATGCAAAAAGGAATGGATTTGAATTTTGTAGATATTCTGTTCTAGTCTTTGTGCTCAAGCTTAAGGTCTAAAAAAAAGATGTTGTACTGCCCTTTAGGTGCCAAAACATAGGTCGGTCGGTCAGAATTTTTTTTTTGGTTTTTTTTTGTTGGTTTTACTCCCTCTTTGGGCTGTTATTTCTAAGTAAAAATGTTAAAAGCCGACCATAGATTTCAAGATTTTTGGGTCGGTCGCAAAGGGTATAACAACATCTTTTTTTTTTAGGCCTTATGTGTAATTTCAGTATGCTAGGTCGAAATACGATGCAATATCAACACTCGAAAGGTAACACTTTGCACCAATGGTTTGATTAAAATCATAGCATCAAGATTCAAAAGTCCTTTTACATAACTATTTCACAACAAAATTTCATCATCCAATAATTCAACATATAGATGATTACACTATACCGTGCCATGTAACTCCCAATCTACAATGTACAAAATTATTCACCATATTTTCAAGATTTTTTTTTGCTCCAACTTCCATTTTTCAATTATTTATGTACCGGTATTCACTCTATGTTGCTTAGCAAGGTTGCAGCTGTTCAGAATTTGAGATACTCACCTTTGAATTAAAACGACGGCCACGATTATGATAACGACGATGATTATTGCAAGTAAGATACAGATGAGAAGAATGATGTTGAAACTCCTTGGTCTTGAACCTGCTCTTGTACCTTCAACAACAACAAAAACAATCAAAGATAATCAGAATCCTTCGCATGTAATAACTGGCATTATATACCTCACTTAAGAAATCCAGCCATCTGATTGGTTGAAATTGCATTCATAAACTTTAACTAATTCTGTAAAATTCCCAGTAACCATAGTTAAAACAGTTCTAAAATCCCAGTAACTATGGTTACCGGGAAAATAGTTCAGTCTCCATGGTTACCCCATAGGTTTACATGTTAAACTAGATGGAACTTCGACTGCGCGCAGTCGAAAATGATGCCTCCGTCATAGAGCAATTTTACAAACCAAAACAGAAGAAATTTTTCAAATTCAAGTTCAATTGTAATCCATTAACAGGTTTTCAGAATATTGTGATTACAAGCTATTTTTGCATACATAATGAGCCCATGACCTTTGACCTTATGAACCAAGAATCTACTCAGTTCATTGGCTCTGCAAGAAACATACATGACCTAAGTTGGCAGGAATCCATCAATCGGTTCTTGAGATAACGCGATCACGAGCTGTTTTTGCATACATAATGTGCCCTGTGATCTTTGAACTTTGACCTTGTGACCCCTACATCTAATCAGTTCATCGGCTCTGCAAGTAACATACATGACCTAAGTTTGGCAGCAATCCATCAATCGGTTCTTCAGATAACGCGATCACAAGCTCGTTTTGCATACATAATGAGCCCTGTGGCCTTTGACCTTTGACCTCGTGACCTCAAAATCTAATCAGTTTTTTGGCTTTGCAAGTAACATACATGACCTAAGTTTGGCAGCAATCCATCGATCGGTTCTTCAGATAATGCGATCACGAGCTCGTTTTGCATACATAATGAGCCCTGTGACCTTTGACCTTTGACCTCGTGACCCCAAAATCTAATCAGTTCATCGGCTCTACAAGATACATACATGACCAAAGTTTGGCAGGAATCCATCAACCAGTTCTTCAGATAACGCGATCACGAGCTCGTTTTGCATACATAATGAGCCCTGTGACCTTTGACCTTTGACCTCGTAACCCCAAAATCTAATCAGTTCATCGGCTCTACAAGATACATACATGACCAAAGTTTGGCAGGAATCCATCAACCAGTTCTTCAGATAACGCGATCACGAGAACGGGACGTACGTACGTACAGACGTACGTACGTACGTACGTACGGACGTACGGACGGACGTACGGACGGACGGACAACCCGAAAACATAATGCCTCCGGCTACTTCGTAACGGAGGCATAAAAATGGTTTGAGCGATCGAGGATACCGTACGTGTGCGAAGAATTGGTCGGTATTTTCATACAAGACAAGACAATTCCAAACAAGACAAAAATGGCTAAAGAAACTGTCCCAAGATTTCAACTTATCAAATGCAAGACTCGCTGACAGCAAGAACAAC